GTATAAGTGAGTAGCCTGTCATATAGCCTGTGATATATAAGTAGCCTGTCAGGTGAAAAATAGCTGTAACTCAATAGCCATAATTTCGTGCTTATGCTGTGAGTTGATCGCCGTAGACATTTCCGTCTCCATCAGAAAGGTTGTTTGCTTATGAAATGAGACGAGTTAGCACTGACGAAGCGTATGAGCGTACCATCATAGACTAAGAATAACTATTCTAAGTATTTCTGCTAACCAACTGATAATCATTCTTAGTCTATGGTACCATTCCGAAGAACTCGTGCGTGCGCACGGTAGCGTGAGCTGGCACGGGCGCGGACGTTGTAACTCATTCGATGCACGGCTGCGGCCAGCGTGCGTGATGGGTCGCGTACAGGGACGCGCTGCCGTCCGCGCTGACGCGCTTTGCCGCGCTGCTGCCGACGGCGCGCGCGCTGCTAGAGGGCGCTGCCACTGCCGCCGACGTCGTCACGGTGATGACGACACCTGGCGGCGATACAGCGCTACACCTGCTGCTGCGGCTCGTGGTGGACACGAACCACGGGCTGGACGCCGACATGCCCGCGCTCGTATCCCTCGTGCTAGACCACGGAGCGCACGTCGACGCGTACAACGCTGCCGGAGCGACGCCGATGCGGCTATGGCGGGAGTCCGGCGGCAGGTTCAGCGCCGACGACAGCGCCGCCGTCGCCGAGCTCGGCCGACGCATGAACAACAAGAGTCTGCGGCTGGACTGTCAGTGCGCGCGCACGATCGTGCGGCACGGCCCGGGGCCGCCGCGCGCGCATGCGACGTGTAGCGGAGCGTTACCGTCTGCATCACGCGTGCAGGCGAGCGGCCCGCGCTGCAGCAGCGCGGGGATGAGGTGGTCCTGCAAGTTCGCGCAGGCTAGGTGCGCGGGGGTAGCTCCGGTGCGGTTGGGCGCGTCTGCGCGCGCGCCTGCATCCAGCAGCAGCCGCGCCGCGTGCAGATTCGCGCGCCCGCACGCGTAGTGCAGCGCCGTGTCGCCGTGACGGTCGCCGACACCGACGTCGGCAACGACCACGAGGATCGCGAGTAGGTTGTCGCGGCCGGAGAATACGGCGTGGTGGACGGCCGCCCTTCCCTCGTAGTCGGCGACGTCGGTCAGCCCCCCGTGTTCGATCAGCAGCTGCAGTTGTTCAGCGCGGTTGGCGGGCGGGACGTCGGTCGGGCCGTACGCGCAGACGAGCATTACTGCCGTCATTCCCGTGCCGACGCACGGGAGATTCGTATCGGCTCCTCTCTCGAGGAGGAGGCGGATGATGTAGGCAGGACGCACGAAATCTCGCTCCTTCTCGACGCCGACTACGACATCGACTCTGTCGCCTACAAGGGCAACACGCCGCTGCACTGCGCCTGCCTCGCCGGACACACCCGCGCTTCACCGAGCCTGTCTGTCGATGGCGTCCATGTATGAGTCATCGTCCGCCGTTACGTCCGCCATGTTGATTGTGGCGCGCGCGCGAACACTGGAGTAAAATTTAGTGCAAATTATTATTTATTATTATTAAATCTTGATTGCATGTAATTCAAATATACAAATGGTGGTGTTGATTTCTAGTCAGAAGACAGAGGCGGGAAATCTACGATTTCATTTGTGGCAGCGATGAGAGCGGGTGTGCACCTAGATATGATCGACTATCGACTGATCGATATAATCCATTATAAGCACTTGATATGATTTGCGCGCGAACTCTGGCGGTGGTGTCGATTTCGAGTCAGAAGATAGAGGCAGGCAATCTACGATTTCAGTTGTCATAACGATGAGTACGGGTGTGTACCTCTAGCTATGGTGGTATCCCTGCTGCGCTTGTTCGATGTATCCGCGTCGTGTAGTGACTCTCTCGACCTATACACGCACGCGCACCAGCAGTCGAACGAATACTACGACCGATGCTGCTTTGGATAGTAATCAATACCCGTGCCTTCTGTGTTGGTGTACGGGTTTGTGGAAACGGTTGTCAAGCAGTCCCTGACAATAGTCTAACAACAGTCTGCCAATAACATAACCCTGAGTATCACTCGATGATGAAGAAGCCTCAAGTCGTGGTTAACATCTATTTATACAGGGCTAGTATTTCCGCAGAGAAGTAATGCAGGAGCGCACACGGAACGCACATATATGCTCGTGAAGCTGCGATATTAAATGATCACGCACTAAATAATTTATTGATCCAAACCTTGTATGACTCACCATATGCAGCCAATCGGATGTATATATCCCAAACGGCGTTACGCACGACACTATTGTGTGTGAATCGGCGAGCGTCTGTTGTGGTACTGATTGCTACTGCACTGGCTGGTTGGATTAAAATCATAATTCACAAGGCCGTAACCTATGAGAATGGGCACGGGGCCAACCGGCCCTCACGGGTTGTGCAAGAAAAGAAAATAGTAAGCTTGTCTAATGTAGATGACCATAAAATGAATGTTATCATGAATGGAACATTATTACAGCCCGTATTAAAATGCTCAGTGTGTCTCGTATGTGGCTTGATTTCTCGAAACTTCTGAAAAAGCATTTTTCCTTGCCAATTTTCAATTTAGTCATATTTCTCATCCCAGTCACGTAATTTTTGCCCCCTTCATAGGAATTTGCTCACACTACTGCCCTAAATCGGTTGTATAGCCTGTTCTTCGTGCATGCTGATGTGTAT